CGACAACAGAGAGGGAGCATCTACAGGGCCAGGGTCTCCATGGCTCATCACCCACACTGTGCAGCCCTGCAAGACGGAACTTGGGGTTTCATTCCGAGTCTTCCAAGTGTTAGGCCCTTGCCACGCCTGCCCCCTTCACAGCACTTACATACTTTGGGCAGCTTCGCAGATGCCAATCAACTGAACTTCACTGCTCAGCAGGAGGGTGCACGACCTGGAGGGGCAGGTAGCCGCTGCAGCTTTCAACAACAGGGGACGGAGCTTGCGAATCACACTCTGGGGGTAGCAGTGCCTGCTAGAAGTCTGGATGGGGCGTGGGTGTGGGGGTCCCTGTGGTTTGTACTTTGAAAACCTGTATCCGAGCACAAGTGAGCTGAGTTCCTTTGGGAATGGGCCAGCATTCCTAACAGAGCAAGCTCCTACATCCCAGACACATCCTCTGAGTGGTGGTGTGGGCATTAGGTATTCAGGAGCCAGGTCAGCACGAGACAGTCAGAGGGGAGGCAGGCAGATGGCACCATGATGGCATCCAGAGTTGGACATCAGAATGTAGGTGCCTGAGCAATGGTCCTGCCCCTCGCTTAGCTCTTTACTCCTGACTTTAGCAGGTAATGTAAGGGCCTGATTTATGTGTCTTATCCTCAGTAATTTCCACAAAGTCAAACCTTGGCATAATTTGAGCTGGTGTTGGATGTGTACAGAATGACTTCATAACAGGAGCCCTCACGCACCATCTTATCTTGGGGAAGGTGTTATGGACTGAACTGTATACCCCCACCCCCAAATTTTTAAGCTGAAGCCCTAATGCCTAATACCTCAGAATGTGACTATATTTGGAGACAGGGCCTTTTAAGAAGTAATTAAAATGAGACCATGAGGATGGACCCTACTCCAATCTGACTGGCGTCATAAGGAAAAGACACCAGGGATTATAGTGCACAGAGAAAAGCCCAAGGCCAGCGGCATCAGAAGAAATAAACTCTGCCAACACTTTGATCTTGGGTCTCCAGCCTCAGCACTGGGAGGAAATAAATTTCTGTTGTTTCAGCCCCCAGGGTAGTAAACTAATACAGTGGTTATATCCACTTTATATTCTGACCATTGCCTACTACGATTCAGAATGGTAAGTGAATACAGTAAACTGGAAGGCTGTTTGGTTAACACTTTTAATTATATGATTATAATTATACAATTTTCACTATTCAGTATTTCGTATAAAACCAGTTACAATACACAAGATTTTCAAACTCGACAATATGTATCAAACTACATAGATATGCAAAGTTTACACGCCATTATGAAGCTTTATCTTAAAAATACCTTCAGGAAAATAAACATTCATTCAACCAGTTCTCTTGGCTTTATAAAATATGATTAGAAATATACATTTTAATAAAAAATCAAGACAATGACTGACCAAATACTGATTAATCAGTTACATTTTAAAACTTTTTAATAATCTGTACATGAGTGCAGGTTAGATAAAAGTCTGCAAATTATTAATATAAAACTGCAGTACTATAATCAGATGAACATACCTGCTGACAGTTATTCTACTGGGCAGTTAAGGAGGTAATTTCTTACACAGTATAGATGAATTGTCCAGTCTTTTAAATATATCTGTAGTATTTCCACTTAGGAACATGAGGAATACTCAGATTTAGGAGAAATGGAAGAGCAGCAGCTAGCCTTACCAGGACAGTTTTAGTGGGAGATAGCTATTAAAGAATCAAAATATGCTTTTAAAGTTGTTTTTCATGAGCACTGCTTTCCAAGATGCAATTACTTTAAAAAATGTATGAAGAGGAACAGTTAAGCTACTTTTAGAACAAACATCAAAAGAGCGCATTGCTCATTTGTCATGAATGGTGGTGATTCAAGCAAAGGGAAGCTTCCAGAAGCTCTTGGCACAACACCACCCAGAAGGCCTGACGGTCCGCAGGGCACACAGAACTGGCCATTGGGCTCCAAGGGCAAACATATTCGCCTCACAAGCACTCTTGGGAACTCCTCTAAAAATTGTCTGGGCCCAAGAAAAGAGGTAGGAATGAATGACCCCTGTGAGAGGGCAGGAGGGCAGAGAAGAAAGCAGGTGGGTGACAGGCAAACAGGGCCAGGCCGAGAGCAGAAAGATGCTGGAGACTAGCAGAGCAGCATGCCTCCCAGATGCGGCTATGTGGACAAGGCAGGCTACGTGTTTCAGTGAGGCACTGCTCAGGATTAACCCCTCTTCACAGACAGCTCAGAGAGATTTCTAGTTTTTCTTTAGCATTACAAAAGAGAAGTCTGTCTATACTTCTAGGTACCCAGTTTTGCAGACACACTTCCTTTGGACTGTCTTGGACTTTGGACATGAGTCCCCAAAAAGCTTCAAGGACACCTAAAAATATGCATTTCTAATGCTAATTTCAAAGAAATGGTCTTGGTGTACTTTCAAAGCTATTTAAGGCTCTTAATTTAAAGGAATCTCTCCATCTGACGTGCCCTATTTCATATTCCATAGCAACAGGGTCTTTCTATGACAAGGACTTGAAGTTAGAATCTCAGGAGATTCTGGGTGTGTTGAAGTTTCCATTGGGGGAAAAAAAAGTCCACTCTTATTCATAGCAGAAAGAACCTTCCATCAGACCCAGAGACTTCCTGGATTCTAGAAATGCCCTCCAGTACATTTAATAATAATGTGCTATGAAATCCACCGGAAGCACTACCCCAAGTCCTTGCTGTGTCCCAAGGACTGCTCCTTTATCAAATCACAGTTTCCTGGGACTCACTTTAGTGAGCCTGTTAAATAACAAGATTTTTTAGAAAGAGCCACAGTGATAGCAATTCTAGCTGGAAACTTGAGCAGCTGACACAAAAAGGCAATTTGTAAAATAAAAAGTACTGTGGTTAACACTGAAGCCCAGATTTTTACACTCTTGGCCAAGACATCAAATGGCTTATTCACCGGGAGGGAGACGGCACATTTAACTTGTTCTGATGTAATAAACAGCCAAACCAGGAAAAGTTCTGATGGAAGTTTGATTTTCATAACTACCTGGATTATTTTATGCAGGAAATGGCCTTCAAAGATGTCAAGGGAAGAAGAATTGCCCTGAGAATTCAATGTTTTATGCAAGGGCATAGTCTGAATATTATTGTCTCCTAGCACGAGACAGCTAATGGAATGTTTCTCCTCCCACCCAGAGCTTAGTGAAGAGAGGTCTTCCCATCAGGTAAGTGGGTCTTTGTGTCTATTCACTTCCAAGGATAGAAAACCACTTTTTTTTCTGAGATCTAGTCCCCAGCATTTAAAAGTTGGCATGACACACCCCCATACCACCTGACAGGGAAGAGCCGCCTGTTTGACCAAGATGATGGCACCATCTCCCCTCGAAACCAGTCAATCTTATAATTTACTCCAAGAGAGTAAATACTGAAATGGAGCCACGGCCTTCCAGTAACTTTTTGCATTAACAGAGTAAAATCTCTTTATTTCAATTGCTTCTTACTCCTCATAGTTTTGTTAAAAAGGTAACTTTTTAACAAAAGGAATTGCTTACTCGCCTGATTCATTCATCTTGTAAGGTGAAGGCATTTGCCTTCTGTTGCCTTTCCATATTGTATCTCCTGCTCTCCATTCTAGGATAGGCAAAAATTGGTTAACAATAACTAAAACCATTCACTTCTTATTATGGAGGTAACCAAGGTGACTGCAAAATATTCTTTTATTTTGGGCCCCCGTTTTTTGTTTTAGCAGCAAATAAATAGTTTTTGTGATTGCTTTATATCACAGACTCTGCTGTGTTTCTGGAGGGTGGAGGGGTGAAGGCACACTGAAAAGAGTTAGTTGTATTCCCCAACCAAAGGCAACAGTGAGTCTCTTATTTACAAACAACTGAAATTCAGATGCTAGTAACTGTCACTGAAATCAAAGGGTGTGTGAATGGCCTTAGGCTGATCACATAAAAAAAGAAACCCACAATGTTACAGAGAAAAACCTGAATAAAGCAGTACTTTTTTTTTTAGCCATCGTTATTTGGGATGGCTGTTTCCAAGGGAAAACACCAACTGTTTTTTTTTAATCATGCGTGGAAGGAAACAGGATTTTAATTTGTATGACTGGGCAACCAAATCGTGGGCAGCCTTGGCATGCTCCAGTCCCTCAATGACATAAAGAGGAATGACTTACAACAATCTTCCGACTCTGAAGGCAGCGTCCCCTCCTGAGTCTTCTAAAGCTACCACTCATGTTCTCTTGCAAATTCAGCTGCCAAAGTACCACTTTGTATCACAACATCCAACAGTCCTCAAACACGGTTTTCACAGATTCTTGTTAATAAAGCACTCTTTGGTGGAAGACAAGCAGCTTGGGTACTTAACAGAGTTACCATTACAACAATATTACAAGTATTAAAGTGAAGATGTTTAAACCAAATAGTATCAAATTACAGAAAGTACCATTTCAGTAATGCCTGTTTTCTCTTTATAAATTTTGACACAGGGTGAACAGAAAATAAATACATAAAAAACCTCCATCAGATCCTCGCTTCTTCTGAAGGCCAGCAGCTAAAATGATTGCCATCACAGGGACACACGTGCACCACACAGACTAGTCAGCTCTCCTGACAACAGAGGGCTTTGATATTTACACCTGAGACTAAATTTACAATAGCTTTTTTTGTCGTTAAACTTGAGATGTTTCTACAAAAGGAGAGCTGGGCCTCCTTCAAGTCACTGCTTGTGCCCAAACTCATGTAGTTATTTTAAACTCCAGTGGACATTGTCTTCATTGAATAAACTTCTTAGGTGGAAAGCGGCTAAGGCTTTTGCAATTTTGTTTTGTTTCCAAATAAATTGTGCTAAGTTCTGCTGTAGGTTTCTGTTCCTAGAGTCTTCCTTCAGTTCTGGTCACAGGTTTTTACTTAACGCAAGACTGTTTTAGTCCTTGAAATGGAGGGACTACAGGGGGAGAAAAAAAAGGATTTTACCATGAAGGTTTCCAAGTGTCCCATATGTAGTTACCAAAGACAAGGAAGGCAACATAATAAAAGTAGTGACATGCTAAGAAGTATACACTTTGTATAATTCTTTAATGACAAGTATTTTGGAAAAGACAGTACAATATCAACCATAAAGTAAAGACAAATGGGAGAGAAAGGCAGAGCAGAAAAAGGTTCAGTTCTGCAAAAAATAAAAAAACAATAAAAACAAAGAAAAAAAGAAGGGCGGGCAGAAGCAGCAGAGCAATGAGAGTACCATAATGCCATTAAGGGCATTTGTTGCAAAGCATTCCTTTTCCTTCTTTCCCTCTGAGGAACCAGGCTGTGGGAAAAGCGGAAAGAACGAAAAGATAAAGAAGTGTTACTTGATTATTTCCAAAGCCAGAATTCGGTCACAGAAAAAGCTCTGGCACCTCAAGCAGTTTCCAGTTCAGCAGCACGGAGGGCACCCGCTCCCAGCCAGCCTCAGACCACGCTGCAGGTGGGGCACATCTTGATGGATTCTCCTCTTACTTCCCTTCTCTCCTACCCCGGTTTATTATGTAAACTTTCAACTAACTAGCAGCTTTTAGAGAAGAACTTGAGCAAAAGGAAAGAGTCAGAGAAGCCAATTCCAATCTGGAGGTGCCCCTCACTGGATGATGAGGCCACTTTATCAAAGTAGCTCATCTGAATCGATGACTTAGTTTTTGGAGACCCCAACAGAGTACTGAGTATAAAGGTCCAGGTTAACTGGTACAGCCAAGTGGGAAAATGTCTGGAATTTCAAAGGGAAATTAGTATTTTAGATGAGCAGAGGTAACCAGCATTCTTTTTTAAAAAGATATTTCAGGATATTTAGAGACAACATCCTGGGGCTTCTAGATGAATGGATTTTCAGAGATAATGGCAATAACTGAAAATTAAAGACCAGAGGTGGTGGAATGGGTACTCAGCTCTGAGACTGTAAACGGACAAGAAGCAGTGACAGGTGGGATAATGACAAAAGTCACAATTGAGAAAACTTGAAAAGCCAAGAAGTCCTAAATGTAGCGATTTCCAACTGAAGGGCTCGTGAAGACATGTTTTTCAGAGGCCTGAGCATTTATCTCCCCCCATGTGAATAATCAGGTGCAAAATACCCCAAAAGTCATAAATATTAGGTTGGTTTGACAGATGGAGCAGAAGGTGATGGTTCCAAATGATGCAATTTAGAATTAAACAAAATAGATAATTTGTCCATGATGAGTTTCTCAGAAAATGGATGAAGTTATAATTTAAAAAAAGAAAGAGGGGCGCCTGGGTGGCGCAGTCGGTTAAGCGTCCGACTTCAGCCAGGTCACGATCTCGCACTCCGTGAGTTCGAGCCCCGCCTCGGGCTCTGGGCTGATGGCTCAGAGCCTGGAGCCTGTTTCAGATTCTGTGTCTCCCTCTCTCTCTGCCCCTCCCCCGTTCATGCTCTGTCTCTCTCTGTCCCAAAAATAAATAAACGTTGAAAAAAAAAAATTTTTTTTTTTAAATAAAAAAAAATAAATAAAAAAAGAAAGAAAAGATTCCTCCAAAGAAATACCATAAGCTTACAGAAACATGTACTGGATGGTAAGTTGTGTGAAGACACAAACTGAATTGAATGTTATCAAATGAGATGGCTGGAGGTCCTCAATCAGATGCAGAGTGATGAAATTTTCAAGACTCTAAGAGAGCTCATCAGAGACTAGAAAACAGTCCAATTCTTTACTGGATTTAATAATTCTTAAAAAGAGAAACATGAGAATGCATTTACAGATCTAACAGGAAGTGGGAGAGGAAGAAGATGAGAAAAGGGATGAGGAAGGTGCCACAGAGATGCCTCTCAGCCCCAAGGGTCAGTGTACTCCATCCACCACCAGATACTCCAGTGCTCTGGGCCTGAACCGCACAACTCTGTCAGAGCAGAGCTTGACACCCGCTGGGTAGGTTTATGTGTGGCTCACGTTCAAGGGATATAGGAGGGAATGATCATCTACCAAGAAAGAAACCTGGTGGCATTTCTTCCCAGCAACAAAGATTTATGACAACACATATTTTTTCAGCCTCCAAATAATTGCTCTTTCAATGTGTTTGTGGAAAAGGCCTCCCAAGTTGTAGAGCCTCTCAGTAAACCGTCAAAAATCAGAAAGCCAAATCAGTGGAAAGTGAGTTTAGGTGAGGTCTCATCCCGGAAGCCTCTAAGAAGAAAATAGAACATGGGAATGAAAGGTCAGGTTCCTACGGCAGAACAGATGATGTGAGAACACCAACCTGCAAAGAGAAGGCCTCACAGGTGGGGGTAACAGTAGACTGGCAATCCTTGTGCCTCCTAGGTATTTATTTTATACTGAGAAGTATACTGTATCATTTCCTTGTATTGCTGTCTAAAGCAAAGTTTTCTATTCAATACTTTATAATTACTCAACAATCTTGTATTATTTTGTCCTCAGATTATGCACAAATGTGTTAATTCCTTCATTACTCTCCAACCAAAAATGACTACTATTCAGTAGGATAAAAGCTTCAGGCTAACTGCTTGGCTCCCTCAGCTTCCACTATTTCCTAGAAGGAGGAAGTGGGACCTGTATGTAATGTATTTGCCTTTCTTTTGTGAGCTGTAGGTGGGTCACAGTTAAGGTAATGTGAACACAGGTCAAAGCTCCATAAGAGGCCAAGAAGACCCTGCATGAAGGGGGCGTGTGTAAACACACTCGAAACCCAGCTTTCTCTCATTAGTTTATTTCTTCTCCCCTCCCAATCTCTGAAAGTCCCATTTTGAGAATTTAAAAGAAGACTTTTGGTTTTCAGCACTATGCCACATGCCTGGAAACTGCTTTGGGCCATTTCAAAATTCAGTTAAGTGTATTCAGTCTGAACTCTACTTTCAACCCCTCAAAGCATCTGGCCCAGGGACCTCAGGCAGATGCTCACTGCAATCAGGAACCACCTCTGCTGAGAAGCACACGTTTAGATCACTAGACAAGACCTAGATGGAAAAAGTGCCACGTGGCCACGCCCCTCAGAGGAACGTGGTGTGACTGGGCACGCGTAGTCCCGGCTCCTGGACTCTATTCCTCTGTAGCCTGAAGAGCACAATCCAGAAAAGCAGAAAGCAGAATTAAATGTGCAAGACACACTCAAAACTGTAATAGAAGCCTGAGTAAGTATACCTAAAAAGAATATGTTCATTCAAAACATGTCTAACTATCCCCCACAGCAGGATTTTAATCTGAATTTTTAATAGGGTAATTCACCTGAAAGTGTCGAAGTTAAAATGCTCCCATTTCTCCCTACTTACTGTAAAAAAGTTGGGAGGAAAATCAAATGATAAAATAATAAAAATCCCTGGGGAGCCTGAGTGGCTCAGTCGGTTAAGTGTCTGAATTTGGCTCAGGTCATGATCTCACAGTTCATGAGTTCGAGCCCCGCACGTTGGACTTTGTGCTGACAGCTCAGAGCCTGAAGCCTGCCTCAGGTTCTGTGTCTCCCTCTGTCTGCCCCTCCCCTGCTTGCTCTCTGTCTCTCGCATTTTTTCAAAACTAAATAAACATTAAAAAAATTTTTTTTAAATAATAAAAATCCCTAACTACCCTACCAACCAGAAGAATTGTTAATATTTCAGCATTTGTTATCTTATTTCCATACATGCATAGAAACATATGCATATATACTTAAGTATATGTATAATCTATAAGCTTATATACTACATATAAATACATATGTATGAACATATACATATATTTGTAGAGGTATACATTTCTATAAAGTATATTGTACATTTATAAAATTAGAGTAATACTTCCTAATTTTTATATGTGTGGCTCTTTTCACTTACTGCTTCATGAGCATTTATCCAAGCCATTAAATTTTCTGTAAAAGCATGATTCTTGATTCATTTGGGATAATTCAACAATCTTTAGCCCATTTCCTCTTCCTCATGGTTATAAATAATGTTCTGATATTATAATGTACCTAAGACCTTTTGTCAGTATTTCTCTATTCTTCTTCTCAAGTGGAATTAAGAGAGTAAAAAGAACTATGAATATTTGATACCTTTCTATGAAAAACTCAAAATCCCCAAGTCATCAGTTGGTGCTCTCAAATACTTGTACTAAGGCACTATCACATTCTGATGTAAGTAAAAGTCTGTAGTGAAACTGTAGAAAGAATTAGCAAAGAGAGGAAAATGGCAAAATTGAACAATTCCTTAAACACAAACACATACACACACCACAGAGTTCTCTGGTTTGTAGTGAATCCCTCAGGAAACAGGCTGCTGGGCCCTGCACCCCGGAGACTAACTCGGCTGTCCCACAGCCTCAAAGACAAGAAGGCAAGAAGTTAAAAAGAAACAAGGAAAATAGGGAAGGATGTTTTAAAGTCTGGTTTAGACTATCTTCAGGCCGGTTGTGGTCTATTATAAGACAGGCGCTGGGCCATGAGCACAGGACCACACATGTTAACACCAGGCAATGATACATAAACACAAAAAGGGTACCTGCCTTCTTCTATTCATAAGATGACAGTTAAGTAGGTTATCTGCTCTTCCCTCAAAAGGGAACTGCTTCTGGAATATGTTAGAAATGAAATGTCTGCCTTTAGTTCATGATAAACATCCAAACGCAACAGTGAGTAATGGATTTGGTCACGGAACATGTGTATTTTCTTGTCACAGCCTGTAATAATGAAGGAAGGGAAGGTGCTGGGCTCCTGGTGAAAGCATGAGCCCCCATGGGTGTGGTGTGGACTGTGGCTAAGAGACCAGGCCCTAGGTAAAAAAGGATCCCAAACTCACTGGAGTTCTCATATTCCACCATCACACTTATTTGCAGCTAATTCTCCAACAATTATGCTGTATCTGCTATACAGAAAAATTTCCTTTGAGTCCTGACAGAGAGAGCTTTGGAAATTCAAGAACTTATAAGTACAACACTCTCAACTTCCCCATATTCTGACCCTGAGACACATCTCCAGTGTTCAGAACCACCTCTGAAAAACAAAACAAACCCTACATTAAAAATGGCCCAGATTTTCTTAGATGATGAACAAGTCAAACACATTTGATTAATTGTCCATCTTAGGGACTGTGCTTTCTCCTCTCTTCCTGTTTTCATTTCTATATCCAGAAGATTAAACTGGAAAACCAATGCTTGGAACTTTTCAGAAGAGTAGGATTCTTTTCTCACCTTTTAAAACTGCTTTTTCTTGAAGCAGATCTGGTGGTTCTTTTAGTAATGCCTGCACTGCCAGAAATGTTAGGTTCAGATGTTTTACAGCTCTGAACACTGGACTGAAGAATTACTCTGAAAACAGTTGGAAAAAAATAAGATTATATTCACTGAAACAATTTTCAAATACCTGACAGAGGAAGGCATTGTTGTACTTTAGTGCAAATTATTTTATTGAGAATTCATAGGATTTTCCGTAAACACACTTGCCAATAAAAATCTGAAACACATTTTCACATCCAAGACTTTTGAATGAAGCATCTCATTTCCCCATAAAGGTTATACAAAGATAACCAGAATATACTTTGCTTTTGGAAAACAAATGACCTGGCATTTTAAGCAATTCCCACACCAAAAGAAATCAATCAATAAAACACATCTTTGTGTCCCAAAGTAAAAGTAGGTTCTCAGAATTCTACTCTTGAAAACAAGATTTCATTTAAAAACCCCAAATTCTAAAGAATATGAATATAAAAATCTACAATAGTCACTCTTCAGAGGTGAAAGTAAGGGCAATAAATGCCAAATCAATACTAATTTTACATAATATTTCAAATTTTAAAAATATGTTCAAGCAAAATTTGAATTTGTCTGGATTATAACCTACTTAATTAAATCATTAAGCACCATTAACATGAATACAAAACTGTTTAAATTCTTTGAAAAACCTGATTTAATTAAACTCTAAAATAATCTCAAGGAACTGATGCCTATGGGTGTAGGTTGCCCAGGAGGCAAATTCATGAGTCAGAAGAACACCCTCAGATAAAAGCCCACATAGAGGACCTTGCTCAAAAGTAGAGGGTGTTTCGTAATTCCTCACTGAATGGCCACAGGGAAAACAGAAAACATCAAAAGATTTTACATGCAATTCTTTCCTTCAAAAGATAATGGCGAAAACAATGAACTGCGTGGGCACACATACATTTATATGTACTCAACTTTTATTTATCTGTAAGAGAAAACACTGCCTTAATAATAAGCTTCCTCTTTTCATGTCCAACTCACAAGAGTAAAAAGAAACCATTACAGCTAACTAGTAGTCCTACCTCCTATGCCTGTGTTACCACCATATAAGTTACTAACCAAGGCCAGGTCCTTATAATGTAGCAAAGATTAGCAAATTTTTAATATTATGCAAACCACAGCATATTCAGCATCAGCATTTAGTAAAATGCTAAACTTCTCATCACTAAAAACACAATGGTGGCATTGTCCCAGAGCAGAAGCCTGGGGGCCAGTGGTTTTCAAGCTGTTTAGGGAAGGGTGGGGGAGGGGTGGGGCTACTCTCAGCGGTTTTGCTGTATCCCCAGAGTATTTCCCAGAGCCTGTGAAAGGACCTTCCATCTCAGAGGGAAACTGATTCTGGGTAAATGAGCCAATGCTCAACTCCGAATTTCTCATAAAGTTTTATCACTCTAATAAAATAGAAAAGGTACATGCAGACATAGTTGTTTGATCAAAGAAGGCAACCAACCGCAGAGGCATATGAATTCTACCTCTGAAACCAAGGATTTATTTAAAAATCTGATTATATCAAGTGGAGAGGGAAGGACAGGAGACTATTTAATAGTCTCTGTATCATTAACAGGATCTGAATACAGAATTTTTCATAAAATAAAGCACAACGACAAAACTTCTGCTATTTCTGAAGCCCAAGCCCAATGTGTGGTGCCACTGCCACGGTGGTCCTGAAACCTTGCACCTGCTCAGCAAGGCTCCTGGTTTTTATCTCCATTTATACAGAGAAAATGAGACTCCCCTTAGCTTTTTGGAAATATCACATCTACTTTTCAAATAATTTGAGGCCACTTACGGCCAAAAGTATAGTCACCACACTGTGAAATCATTAATATGAGAATAGAAACAAGAACCAATATATTACTTGCTTGGGAAATTTAAGACAACTACTATGAAGGTTTACCATTTGAAAACAGAAATCACTGCTAAATCCAATTTTAGGCTGACAGGAAACATCTTTTATAAATTTTTTTTTTCAACGTTTATTTATTTTTGGGACAGAGAGAGACAGAGCATGAACGGGGGAGGAGCAGAGAGAGAGGGAGACACAGAATCGGAAACAGGCTCCAGGCTCTGAGCCATCAGCCCAGAGCCTGATGCGGGGCTCGAACTCACGGACCGCGAGATCGTGACCTGGCTGAAGTCGGACGCTTAACCGACTGCGCCACCCAGGCGCCCCAGGAAACATCTTTTAAAAAGTATCTGTTTCTCGGGGCACCTGGGTGGCTCAGTGGGTTAAAGCATCGACTCTTGATTTCAGCCCGAGTCATGATCTCATGGTTCATGGGTTTGAGCCCTGCATCAGGCTCTGTACTGACAGTGTGAAGCCTGCTTGGGATTCTCTCTCTCCCTCTCTCTCTGCCCCTTCCCCACTTGTGCTCGCTCGCTCTCACTCACTGTCAAAATAAAGTTTAAAAAAAATAAAATAAAAAGTATCTATTTCTCTGTAAAATTAGTGTAAATAATTTTTGTTGATTTTTTAAAAAAATAAGAGCATAACAGAAATTTGGAAAGCATTAATCGCAGTAGAGAGTCACATCACCAGATATTTGTATTAACAGAGCAGTTACTCTACCTGTAGGTTATGCATCAATCAACTGGAAAACCCCCCAGCAACTACACTTAGGTATTACCTGCGATAAACTACACACAACAACGTAAAGTGGAATAAGCTGACAAACACATGTGACGTTTTCACTCTGCTACAGGGTAAGCGGTAACCAGCTACCTCTCACCTTGCAAACCAAGCCAATCACATGGCTTTGCAGAGCAATGTTCTACAAATTCATACTTATTCTTGCCCATAGAGCAGTTCACGTTTTTTGCGACTCCTCTTGAGTCCCAGTATTCCCAATGCAAATAATTGACAGGCCAGGCCTCTTATTTCCCAAACCACAAAATGCTTTGAACATAAATGTTCAACTCCAAGAAAAGAATCCATCAGTACAACTACGCACTATTGACACTTGGTTGTCTACCACTGACACACAACAAGCTTTCCAAATGATAGGCCTGCGGCCCTGCAACCTTCACAGACTCCTTTCCCATTGTCCCAGAGTTTGGCGCAGCCATCTGAGGCACTGGTACAGTCTGGTCTTCCAGGCATGACAGGTGATGATCTATCAGGCCATGCTACGTCATCAGCCAACAGAGGTGAATGCCACCTGTACAAGTGGCCACCTCAAAAGAAAACTACAAGGATTATATCTGTTCACATCATTGTTACTGCCGAAAGCTTTTGTTTCTGTAAATTCCAAATTAATCAAGCAGGATAAACTGAATATTCAGCTTTGGGTCTACAAATGCATTGGCAGATACCAGTAGTAACAATAAAGACTGTATCTTACGTAGAATATTAAAAAGAAAGGTGCTTGCCTGATAGAAATCATTTACTCACCCTGGGAAAAGAAATACAGTCATGAAGTGCCTGAGTATTATTAGCAATGACTCCACCCATTTAGAACTCCACCTATTTGAAATACCTTTCCCACTCGGAATAGTTTGAGAGGAATAAATCTGTGCAGTGCATGATGATCGAGTCAGAATATGCAAAAATCTAAGCTTACTAAGAGGAATAAAGGAAAAAAAAAACAAAAAGATCATCTATGCCAGAAATATAGCTTATCTATGTAATAATAAGCTTGTATTGATAAGATAGTCAAGAAAATGTCATACATAGGAACATGTTAAGCAGCCTTTCCTTACTTTTGAAAAGAATAGTCTGCTGGATTTTTAAGTCTTTCCTAAGCCATCTGAAGATACTCCATGAAGCCACAAATTATGACAGTTGGTTGAAATGGAATTCCACTTTGGAGGAGATCCTAGAAGGAACTTTCATATTCTTTTACAACTCCCAAGTCCAAGTTGGAACAAGAGAATAAATTCTTGAAATATGAGCTAAAGGAAGAATTTCAGAGAAAAAAGAACACACCCTCCTTCCTATGTTTGGTGTCAACTGTAAGGTGTTCCCCAGGAAAGCTTCCTGCCACAGTCTCTTCGCTGTTATGGTATTCATGAAGGATAAAAGATATTAAGAGAATACAAATTCTGCAATTATTAACCTAATAAGGGCATTTTGATTACTTCTGGGAAAGAAGGAAAGTGGGAGGAAGTAAGCATAGAGATTGTCATGCAGAAATACAAGGCTGAACAAGGGAATCCCGTCTTCTCTGCTGTCCCATTTCCATTTAACATCATTCCTGAAAACTGTACTAACTCTAGAGGGGAGGACATGAAACGAAGCAGAGGAGAAGATTCTGCTTCCTCAAGACAGAAGACTTCGCAGAAAAGCAGTTGCTGGCTGAGGGCAATGGCAGAGTCAGAGGTGAAACACGATGCAATGCTCACTAGACCTCACAGCTACAAAAGCAAATCTCTATCAACAGCAGAAAATCAGCGGGCAAATTCTTTTCGCTACATTGAAAAGGATATGCTAAAGACATTTACTCTAGAAAACAAGGGAAAACTGACTGAATGAAAACCACCCCAATTATCCCAAACTCACTAAATACTTTTGATAGGGAAAAGAAACTATTCCAGTGACTTCATACATTGCCACTGCAAAAAATCTGTTAAGAGTAATAAGCACAACCTAAAAACAAAGTTTGTTATTTTTAACATCCCTACATGAAAGGATCAGGGAAGACCTCCTCCCGCCACCATCCCATTAATTGAGAAGTTTCAGAAAAAGAACCTTTGAAAAGAGGCAAACCAATAAAGCTAGGAGAGCTGACAGTGAGAAAAACATGCATCATGAGAAACACACTGGCCACCAGAGGGGACCACGTAGAGAAATGGAATGGGACACTTACACAGCAGCTATTTGTCAAAGGGTCCCGACGGCTACTGTGTTCTGAAACCATCGAGACAGAATAGCAGGATGGGAAGAATGTAGTCACAAACAATCCACCAGATGACAACACTACACAGTGCAGAGGTCAGCACAGCTAGGGAACATCTGGAAAGGGGTGAAGGGGAAAGAACAGATGTTCAAATTGGGAAGCCAAAATAAATAAATAATAAATAAATAAAGCCACGTGTGAATTTTAGACACC